CTTTATTTCCAAGTCTTGTCATATGCTACAGTGCTAGCTGCATACAGTGAGCTCTTTCTCTCTATATATAGACGGGTAAACTTTGTTTACAAATTTGATATATTTTGCCTGCCAAGAATGCGCGGACATGCTTTTTTGAAAGCTTTATCACACATGAGTTGTTCTATGACGTATGCTTGCATGATTAGACTACAAAATAAGTTGCTCGCGCATCCCAGGCAGGCAAATTGTATCAAATTATGTAAACAAAGTTTACCCGTCTATTGCTATATATTATACATGGAGATGTCGTATAAACTCGACTCTGGTGGGGGTTGACCTTATTGAACCGAGGTCAACCAAAACAACAAAGAAACAAAATGGTTTTCAACACATCGTATGTAAATGATTCTCCAACTATTAATTATAAAAGCCAAATATAAAACAAGATAAAAGCTGTCTTTTACCCTGGACGCAGACCCTTGACCCCATGGGACATCATCTGAAAACCGAGAATTGGTGAGTTCTCACTAAGTACTCAGTCTACTCCAGATAGAGCTTACATGGCTGCATATACTGTTAATTATAATGAACAATTTATTAAGATGATTTCCACTCTGTTCTGTGCATAATTTCTGCTCATAACAAAGGGGGACCCCCAGATATAAACATTGCCCAAATTTTGCATCTTTTGAACTTTTTTGATTTGAAACGTAGAGTTTATATTCATTTACAAGCATAGCAAACCAGAAAAGTGTTAGATATTCAGTCAGTATATCATAGTTTACAAATATAGTAGTTCAAAACGTAAACAAAGTTTGCGCATGCGCAGAGGAGCGGATATCATCTTTAATAAATTATTTCGAACAATTTATTTAATAAATTATTACAAGTGAAATATTGTTCAAGTGCAAAGATTTTAAGTTCCGGTATTCAAAGTATTTGCGTTTTTCGTCAAGTCCTGCTTGACTAACGTCTAACTAACCAACTTAATTCCACCCATCTTTAATAAAAACTGGAATGTCATTAAAATGGGTTTTAACTGCACATACAAATGATTCGAGACACTCTGTATGTGGGTTCAAATGACCCCAATGAATAATCTGTGTGGCTAGCACAGATTAAATATTAAATGTCAATATATTATTTTCTATATGTCTCCATTTACTGTGAGAATTTACCTTAACAGTGCCTCTATCGAGTCAATTACCTATACTGTCAAAATTTGGTAATATCCTCATGTTTTGCATACAAATAGATTTCTGTTTGATCTTGATCCCTATCCAGGAATGTAGCAAAGACGTTGTCATTGGGTGGTGGGGGGGGGGGTGTAATGCTCTTATAATTCACCTGAAAATCAGCTTATATCACCTAGAAATTTACCTCAAATTACTCATGAACAATTGTTGGGGTGTCCCTCCCCCTACACCCCACCCCCCTACACCCACCAGTTGCTATGCCCCTGGCCATATCAGAAACCTATCTCCAACCCTATTATATGCAACACATGAGAACAGAACCCAAAACTCAGAACAATCTAAGTTTGCTTTAAGCTCAAAATGATACCGATACTTTGTTTTACACGCTAGTCTATAATTTCCATAAAAACTATCGTTCGGAAGCAGATGTCCAGTCGTTTTTCGTCCGAAACTTCTCCGATTGCTTCCGACGTTCGAGTCTCTTCGGATTCGCCATCCTGAAGTTTTTCGAGCAAACTTTCCAATTGTTCTGCGCAGCTGTCAAGCTTAGAAACATTCTCACCTGGGGTGAAATTTGGACCTAGCGGCTTGGCATAGCTTGCGGTAGAAACTGATGTTTGACTGTCGTGGTTCTCGCTCCCAGAAGCGGACAAATTTTCACAACTGTTTTCAAAAGATTCGTCATTTTTCATTTGGTCATCAAGCAAATTATCATAAAGTGCCTTGTAGATTTTCTCATTTTCGTGGAAAATAGTTTCGGTAAGTTTCTTCTTCGTTTCTCGGAACGTGACGTAATGAGGTTTCTCGGAGGGATTTTCTTTTGTTTCCTCCGGTCGAACTTTTCTCGCTTTTCGTCGTTTCTTCGGTTCACCTTTGACTTTTAACTGTATTTGCTCGGTAATATATTCCAAAATTTCGTACTCATTTTTCGTGTCGGCTTCCTCTTCCTGGACCTCGGCGTAGGAATCGTTGATTATTGCCAAAAATATGTTCATGAGGATTAAAACATTCATACCGACGAATCCGAAGAAATACAGTGGTCCCAACAGTGGATTCGTCATCACCAACGCCTCGAAGTCGAAATCTCCGAGCGTCATGCTGAACTGTGTCACCATTGTCCTCTGAAACGTGCTGTAATCGTTGAGCTCCGTGCCGAAAACGGAAAAGGCGAATAAGCCAAACGCGAGAAACGCAAAGAAGAACGGTAGGCAAAAACTCGAGATGGGTCCGCTGATTCGAGCCAGGGTTTTTCCAAGAACTGCGAAGTTTTTATTGAAACGGAGGAGACGTAAGAAGCGTAGCGTGTAGAAGAAGACTAGAATTCCGAGAACGTAACAGAGGGCTGCATCCGCACCGGCCGCGTATTGGAATGGAACGTAGTCGTTTGGATTTTCTCGTAACTGAAGTAGATTTCTATCGACTTCGTACAGACGCGCGAGGAATAGAATGATCGTCAAGAACTCGCAGACGACTAAAATCGTTTCCACCCAATTCCAGAAGCCTTTGAAGTAAGCACATCGCTGTTTATAGACGAGTCTTCCTTCCCTGTATAGGAAGTACATCATGAAGAATATGACCAGAATATGGGAGAGTGTTTGAGTGCCGTTTAGATGCAGATAAAACCTCGCGGATTGGTATTGGACCTTGGTAAAGGCAGCCGATGAGGAGGGATATTCGACCATTATAGAGACTATACCAAAAAGATTAGTGTTAGCATTGTATACGGTAAATTCGACAAACACGGCTCGAGATTGTACGTCGATCCAACCGTTTGAATGTAAATCTGAAATGACCGTGTATGCCGCCACTGGATTGTAACCTAGATTCGCCGCGTATCCACCGCCGCTGTACAGCGAAACTGCACCCCAATACGGAAAGCCCCTCATCTCCAAAGTGGACTGGTGTCGCCATCTCTCTAGACATGACATAACTTTGCCACTCGGTAATAAGGCCTGGTCGCTGATCGCGTACACCTTCGGCTTACTGCTTCCTAAAAGTCGCTTTTTCTTTCGGCGGTTTTTACCGGTAACCGACGACATTATCGGATCAAGTGCTCTTTTTCGGCGACTGGTATCTATGTCCCGTTTATTTTGTCGTTCATTTCCAAGTCTGTTATTCCACTCGGCGAGTGTGTTCTTAGGTAATAAGTCCCCGGGTAATGTGCCCTCCTCGGGTATTGTGCCCTCCTCCGGCACTTCGTCCCGGGTTTTAGTCTCCTTTGGTGCTGTTTGCGCCATTCTCTCGAGCCATTCTTCCTCAGTCTCGGGTATATTTTGGAGGTCTCTACGTTTTCGTGCCGAGTTTGTGCCCAGTGGCTCCCAGGATACATCAAATGTTTCATCTTCTTCAGAGGTTAGCGAGAAAGCGCCGTAGCAATGTGGTATGCTGTCTTTGAATAACTTGTCCACTGTGCAAGAATCTGAAAATTAAAGATAGAATGAATAGATTCTAAGATGGGAGATGTCACTTGTCAGGTTAAATTTAAGCGACTCCGACTTTTGGACGAGGTCGTTTTTCCATGTCGCGTATTTGCGATGGAAAGCCTTAAAAATCTAAAATCTTTTTGGCGGTTTTTCTTTTAGCTTTATTTTCTAGGTTATACAGTTAGCTACCTTTCTAAATGCATCTGCTGTTGAGAAACAATAACATGTTTTGAAATATGACTCCATATTTGCAACAATATACTGCAAGCAAAACTTATTGAACTTCAGACATAATTTTCTCTTCGGCGTACCATGGAAAATCTCTTCATTTTGGCATTATTTTACAGACGAAAAACACTAGACATACTTTTTAAGTTTGTTTTCCGCTTGGATCAGACATTAAATATTTTGAATGTAGTCGTAATTAGGTAGTATATTATACCAAAAATTAATGTCTTACTTTTTGTATGTGTTGGTGAACAACATTGTGTACTCAGGTGAATATGTTTGTGGTGTTACTCTGAGTGTGCATCCACACCGGGCAAGCTGAAATGTTTGCCTCACCACGGTGGGAATGGAACCCGCGACCTTTGGGATACTAGTCCAATGCTCTACCAACTGAGCTACGAGGTCAATCATATCTTAGAATACATTGATATCGAAGGAACTAGACTCAGTTCTGAAATATCACCAACTCGAACCGACTTGACCTCGTAGCTCAGTTGGACTAGTATCCCAAAGGTCGCGGGTTTGATTCCGACCGTGGTCAAGCAAACTGTTGAGCTTGCCCGGTGTTGATGCACACTCAGAGTAACACCACAAAAATAATTAATCTCTTGTTGATAAGTTGTTGATATATAACCTAATGCAGACTTCGTGATTTTTTCTTTACCTTCTTTAACTCGCACCAGTCTTATCCGCGGTACACCCACAAGATAGTCTTCCATATTGGCAATGAATCCTTTCTCGGCCTTTTTCCCATTGTACCATTCTGTTGCGTAGAGGCCTGGCACTAGTGTCTCACGTGCCCACATCCACAGTGAGTCACCGTCAGAGACCTGGGCAAGAGTTAAAACAATTTAGTCCTTTTGTCAAATTTTACGTTACTTAAAAGTCAGTCACATGAAAGTATTGAAATGTTTATGAAATCTCATATAAGCTCTGATGATCTTTCCTGAGCCAATTTTTTCCTACGAAGGCCGAAATCCGCCATTTTGGGGGTACTGTCTGCCCTCGTAAAAGATTCTAGACAATTCAAACAACGTAAAAAGCGACTTTTAAAAGTTGTAACTGTAAATTTACCATTATACAAAACAACCACAGTACTAAAAGTTGTATTTCGTAGTGTGGAGACTCTCAAACGTGGCAGAGGCAGTACCCCCAAAATGGCGGGAAAACCGGCCGTGCGAATTGCATCACTTCTGTCAATGCTGTTAACAAGCTAGTATTAAGTTTCCTTATAAAACTGTGTCTTTTATAGCTTTCCAACAAAATATTCTGCGTTTCTGGTAAACGACAGCAAGTTTCGCATTTAAATTTATCGAAGCGAGATGTTATGTCTCGGTCTCTAATTCATACGGTCAAAGGCGTAACTCCGGTTTTAAACATTAGGTGTCTGTGGAGTCGCTTTGCCCAACAAAAAGTGTGTGGTCAGAAAAGAACATAAGGATGCTTGGAAAACTAAAACGGTTTATGAGGTCCGAAGGGGTAGCGGCTTTGACGCCATCCTTGTCCTCAGGGCTATGCTACGTTTGCTCTTCGCATTGAGCCTGGTCCTGTGAGCCTAGGGACGATGATGTCAAGTCACATGTATCGACCCTAGAGGGTATGAGGGCATGTCCCCCCCCCCCATGCAGTGAAATTTAGAGTCCTCTGAAACACCATTTCATGCACTGCGGGGGAAGATTTTACCAAATTCTGATGGTCAGAAAACGACGTATATTAGAATAGCAAATGTTTGAAATTGCTCAAACTGAACTTCTAGGTTTTCTTGTTCTTACTCAACATGATTTGAATGTATTTTTGCCCAACAAATTATTGTATATTTGATAAATCTACCCAACAAAATTGCTTTTCTCACCCCGTCTTCATTACGCGCCTGGAACCATTTTTTGTTTAAGTTTCAAAATGTTTTACCAAAGCAAAACAAAACCTTACCGCTCCGAGGTCAATGCTATAGGCGTCTACTTCATCAAAGGTTTCATATAATGTTTTGGTCATGAGGAACGTGTTGGAATCTCGGTGGTAATAAGCGACGTTCATGAGCATGATGAGGAAAATAAAGAATGCTGCAATTTCTTTCATGATTCTGTTCATTTGGATTTCTTTCAAGCGTTTGATACGCGCCTCTTGTAATGTCGCTGGGTCTGGGGGACTGCAAGAGAGGATAAAACAAGAAACATAGTACTTTTGTTATCTCCGCCAGGGGGTTATGATTTTACCTGGGTTTGTACAGACATAGTCTTTCAACATATGATGGTCTTGAAGCTAAACCATGTGAGTCACGATTTAGGAACAGGGTTTGGATTTGGGAAAGGGTTAGGATTAGGGTTATGATTAACGCCCGTATTCTAAAAGCACACTCACACTCAATGAGTGGAGGTTCAATCTGAGCAGAGTTAATAGACTAGATCAGACTAGGACTGTGATCTGAGCTTCCCCTGAGTGTCAATGCTGTTTTTGAATAGCTGGAGGGTGAGTAGTCACATATAGTAAGGTACGGCACTAACCCTTCAGCTATTCAAAAACAGCATTGACACTCAGGGGAAGCTCAGATTGAACCTTCATTCATTCAGTGCGAGTGAGCTTTTAGAATACAGGCGATAGTCTATCAAGATCTGAAGGTCTGAAAACTAAACCATATGAGTCACGATTTAGGAACAGTTACTATTTTTAGACTTAGGATTTGCATTTGGGAAAGGGTTAATAGGATTCAGATTAAGATTAGGGTTAGGATTAGAGTAAGGTTAGGTTTAGGGTTAAAGTTTAAGATACAAAAGAATACAAAATTACAAAAGTCTAAAAATAGTAACTCTCCCTAAGACGTGACAGGTATAAACTAAACAGGAGTCATTTTGCTTTTGCCTGAGTAGAAGTTAATTTGTGCACGGTCACGGTGATTGAGCTCATTGTGTATTCGTATAATTCTGAAGTTGAATGAATCCAATGGCCCGACTTGACATTGTTTGGGACTTGTTTGTTAGATCGCCAGTCGCCTCGTGGAATGAAAAACTCCGTCTTGGAAAGTTTGGAATGGAAATTTCACGTCATGAAAAAAATTTACATCCAGTTTTACCGTTGCATCATAAGCATTCATTATTCGTATACAATGCAACATGGCCATTTTAAGAACATTGGACAAAACTAGAGGGCGCTCAGACACTACAATGGCTTCTCAATTTGTCGTTGGGAACAATGATGTTATTGAAGAATTAAAAACTTCTAGTGAAAACTCGACCACTAGAAAAAGTACAAAATTATGGGTTGGAGTATTTAAGAAATGGGCAGCATTAAGGAAGATCGGCGAAGACATGGAGATATACGAGGTTCAAGAACTTGCCCTCTATGATTAACAAGTATAATCGCATAGTTCCTCGTAAAATTAAAGTTTAATTTCACTTGTGTTTTCAAAAGTGTGAAAACACGCGTGAAATTAAACCTTAATTTTACTCGGCCCCATGCGATTACCTATACAAATTGAACCAAAATTTAATTAATCCTTTACCTATGGCCCACAGATTTTCGTGTTGATATGTTCGTTACTTTTGAGTTATATCGTGCTAACAGATATTTCAGTAACGCACACAGAGGTAACTGACCTGTATATTTTCCTCTTCGTACTCTTTCTATGGCTTTTCGCCGGAGTCGCTAAGCTCTGTGGTTCAAATGTAACTGGAGTGTCATCCTGATCATCCGTATCGCTCGGTTTCCGTACGAACACCGCAAACACCACTGCGAGTACCAGCACTTTGACAGGCTGCAGAAGTAACACCGACTGCAGGAAAGCTGTTACCATAGCAATAACCCATTCCGTCGATTTCACCTTTCCCCACTGTATACTGTAAAGCAGTGTGAAGAATATAGAAGCTGCAGAAGCCAGATAACATAACAGATACGCGATGTAGATGAACCAATGCGGGAGCTTCCCTTTCGGTTTTGGTTCTTCGTCTTCCTTGTTTTGCGAGTCTTCTGTTTCTTCACTGTAAATATCCTCCTTGCTTTGTTTCGGTCTTAGGTTTCGAAATATCTGTACAATGGCCACGTTCACCGGGACGATAATAAGACTGCTTTGTAAGCCGATTACGAATTGCTTGAGGTCTATGACGAGCGAGCCAATGTGGATGGCAAACGGACTGGGACCGTCTCCTCCCATGTTGTAAAACATTGCACTCGTGATCATGGTACAGCAAAGTAGACACAGGCAGCACGAGAGGCGTTGGACGCGCGTGAAGTTGCTGCTCGGAGGCCTGGAGAAGATCGAGAACCATAAGTGACCATCGGCTAAGCCTAAGAAAGAATGATGATGTTATACTAGTGTAGCAAATTAGTCGAAGAATAGACCTTATGCATAATGACGTCACAAAGCTTGATGCCCGCGAGGAATGCTGGTCTTAGTAGTCATCGCCCGGGAAAATGTCGATAGTGGCCATTTTGAATTGTTTAATTTTCCCGGACGACGACTACTAAGACCAGCATTCCTCGCGGGCATCAAACCTTATGACGTCATTATGAATGAGGTATATTGTGCATTTGATGATAAAAGCACACAACTTGACATAATGTTAGGTACACCCTAAGGACATTTAGGGGCATTACAGATTAGCTCCTGGTCCCCCACAAAATTAAAGTACTATCTTATTAAAAGTGAAATTTCAAAGTTCACTTTTAGCCTTTTCAAAATGCAATGAAGGTTTAAAACAATCAAAACCATGTCTGTGAGACAATACTTCAACTAGTTGAAGAACATGTTTCTGGATAATATGTTAGAAAACGATCTTGTTTCCCGCCGAGGGAATCTTCTTTCTTCAGAATGTTTTAGAAGTTGGCGAAACAGGGAAACATTTGTGGAAACACCAAGTTTTCATTCTTTTTCTGAAACAATATTTCGTTCTTTTCTCGTGCCGTACAGGGTGTATAATCGAACTTCAGCGCGCCATTACATCTGAATTACTCTGCGTATTTTATATATTCGGAAAGATCAGGTTTTAGCTGTTGAATGATATGTTCTTCATGCCAAATGAAAACATGTCATTCGTCAGCTAAAAGCCTGATATTTCCGAATATGAAAAAATGTTGTTCATACGCCGAGTAATTCACTTTTTTTTATACACACTGTATAGTAAAGGAAAATTCCCAATTAGTTACCTTTGACCGTTCTTGCTGTAAAAAGTTGGTTAAAGTTGGTCAATTCTTGTTCATTTGCTACAGGTATTACTCGGCATACTTTGCCATCTTCAGACTCCACTGCTAACCAGTTATCGCATACAAAGTACCATTGTTGGTTTGTCTGAATATCTCTGACAGTGACACGACTTAGGTACCAGGATGGTGACAAGCCTATGGTGATAAATATTTATGGTTATGATCTGAAGTTGGTTGTATACTACTATACGCTTGAAATACTAAGACATTTGAGGTATACAAAACCACTTTATTTTCATTAAATGGGTCCTTTTTTGCAGATGAATTTTCGAACGCAAACTTATATACATTTTTTACACCTAACCAGGAGCAGCCACGACAAATGCTAACATAGGCCATCTGGCAGGAATTCATCAAAAATCCCCAATCATGAAATAGGCAGCTGAAGGATTTCAAATAGAACGTAGGATCTCTCGCCTTGGAAAGTCATCCCTACATTTTAATAGGCTGAGGGGCCGATCCAACCATTAAAAAATCAAATTTTTTATACCCAACCCAAATATCAATTAAAAAGTATATACCACTCCTATACCCCTGGCCAAAATCTTTACAAAAGGATACCATTCAGTTGTCACACATATCCTTTACTACTTCTGTGACACGAGTTTGATAACTGCTTGTGCAAAACGTTTCTGCACATGTACTTTCTTTGGAGATACCATTTGCCTCCGGACAAATCGGAAAATGATCAAGATAGTGACTGTGATTGATTGATTGATTGATTGATTGATTGATTGATTGATTTACGTATTGTATTGACATATGAATGTTGACATTGCTTTCAATATTTGAGTGAGTCATGCTTTGGAAATGACAATAAATCTCTATTACCCAACCCTTGAATTGTTTTGTTTTACAGTTACCAAACCCTTTAGGGACCAGTCATAAAGTAACTGCTAGGGTGGGCTGGAGTGATTTGGGATGGGCCATGGAAAATCTTTGGGCAGTTTCGATGGGCCGCCAATTTTTTGGTGTGTCCACGGTTGGGCCACCAAACAAAAACCCACGTTAATTATATATTACATAAAGATATTAATAATAAAAGCAAACAAAACTATCCAAATTATCAAATGCAAATGATGCTATTGAAGCCAGTGCTTTGTTTTATACAACAACAAGAAGTGGTCGAATCACACCAAGTACAACCAAATGGAGAGCAGCTCAGTATCGTAATTGGTGATGAATGTGTTGGTCAAGCTTGGTGGAATTATGTATGTCAACACAGTGCCGGTGTATATTTACAATGTTCATACTTGCAAGTTTTTTTTTTGTTATAAAATTGTATTTTCCCAATTTAGATTGGGTGGGTGGGTCATGAAATAAATTTGGCAAGATTAGATGGGCTTTGAAATTTTTATCTACATCCTAAGATGGGTCACCAAACTTATTGGCAAAATTTGTGATTTACCTCCAGCCCACCCTAGCAGTTACTTTATGACCAGTCCCTTACTCAATTAAAATTTTGTTTACCCAACCGTTTTCTCATCGGTGGCAACTCCAGCCATAAATAATAACCGCTCCCTGAGGAGACAAACGTACCCGCGTTGTTATGCCAGATTTGGACATAACTAAGTTCGCCGACTTCTTGAGGGTAGGAAACAATAAACTGATTCTCCTGTCCACGTTTAAAGGAAGGCCTCTTAGAATCCCACATTTTGACAGGAAACGTTTCATCATTATCTCCAGACAATTTGAAGAAGACTTTTGCAGTTGTACCAGAACCTTGTCTGTTTCCTGTGTATAGCGTAACGAGGTAGTGATACGTGCCTTGAGGGCTGGGTAGGATTGTCGGACCAATCTACAAGATATAGGAAGGTTAGGTTAAGTCAGGAATAGATTTACTGGTGGCTCTGTGGGGGTGCAGGGCGCTTATATAATCACATGCGCGGCCTGGTCGTGGGTTTTCTCCGGGCGCTCCGTTTTCTTCCCTCAGGGAAAGTGGACAGGGTGGGTTAGATAAACATAGTTGGGAAAGTAATATCACAATTATTTTAAAGGTAAATAGTCTAGGCTAAGTTGATAATATAAGTAAGCGTAATACGTGATGTATCGATCACCGAAAAGCCCCGATGGGGACGAGCTGAATAATTTATGTACGTATGTATATATTTGTACTAGTTTCTCTATCAGTTCTAAACTGTTATTCCTCTAGAGGTCCAGTAAGGGCCGCATCACTTATTAGGCCACGACAGCAAGCAAGCTCTATCAATGCGAAGCTTTCTTAAACTGAAACTGAACTTTATTTTTACTGGATAGCTTTATATCAGTTCTGAACTGTTCCTCCTCGAGGTCCAGTAACGGCTATTCCTAAATTGTCAGGATTTTTGGGCACCTGTTAACTCTCCCCAGTCCTTTTTGTGAAAGTCAGAGCGTAAACGAATAGTACACAGATTTGAAAAAGAGCGCCAATTTGGCTTTAACCAATCGTATGGTTGATACGTATTGAGTTATCGTTCCAGTTCGCTTAGAGTTCAATGGATGATACTCACCATTAACTTATCTCGCTTGTCTGCTCGCCTTCCCCAGAGAACGCCCAGGATATAGAATCCTAACACGGTAGATATCAACGCTAACACAGCGACATTATCTTGTAGACTGCCAAAGTTGCTGAAGACTGAGCTAAAGTCAATTGGATTGGGCGCCACGACCAAGTCGCTACCAAACGATGTGAGGTGATTGCAGAAACATTGGATATTGGTACGGGATGTCAGAGGACCAACCTAAACAGAACAGAAATGTTTGATGAATTGGAATCTCTGGTAAGAGAAGAATATAAATGTTGAAAGATTTTATACATTTATTAGATCTAACCTGGAGCCAGGGACGCCGGAACGATAAAAAGGCAAGGGGGGCAAACGCACACCAAAGGGCACCTCTACAGACTCCGGTCAAGATAATTTTACAAATATGTGTTGACTTGCCAATATATGAAAGCAAACGCACTTAATCAGGTCACATTCAAGATCACACCTCATGATTTTGCCGAAAAAGCATCACTGGAATTGTGATTTATCAGGTAGTATTTCATAACTCAAAGGGCATTTCTGCCCCCCTTGCCCCTCCCAGCAAAAGGCAAGAGGGGCAGCTGCCCCTCCCCCCCCCCCCAATTCCGGCGTCCCTGCCTGGAGCAGTTGCGAAAAATACAACTATAGGCCCTCTCGTAGGAATCGAACCTGGGATTCCGGTGCAGTGTTCTAACCAACTGAGCTATATATGCATCCCAGAGTACTGAAGCGAAGCAGATTAGTACTGAACAATTTTTTCGACCAATATTTCCTTGACAAGTTTTACCGCCGTTTTAGTTGAAAGCTCAGCTGGCTATAGTGCTACACTATCATTGCATGCAAAGCTGAAATATGTTTCTCCTTTTTAACGGCCAAAGGCTTAACCAAAATTATCAGTTTTGAAAGGTGTAACATATTAGTTTTGAAAATGTTTTGAGCTATATATGCATCTCAGAGTACTGTACCGTGCAGAAACTATTTATTTTTTGAAGGACATTTTTCCTTTTTTTTTGAACAGTTGAAACTTTGTTATGCCTATATAGTTTAATCCTTTCAGTCTTAGCTACATGTTATATACACACGCAAAAATCTCACAATTGTAGCAAATCTGCCAACAAACCGTCAACAAGTTGTGTTCGCACTGCTTGTCCCAAGTTGTCGACAAGTATGGAACGACTTGTTAACGGTTGTAACAACCTTGTTGATATTATCAGACTTGTTGCAAGGTTGTTCCAACAAGTCCGATACAATCATGATATAACAATATTGTTACAACTTTGTGTCGTCAACCTTGTAACATTCTTGTTATATCATGACAGTATCAGACTTGTTAGAACAACCATGTAACAAGTCTGATAATGCAATCAAGCTTGTTACAAGTTGTAAACAGTTGACATCTTGTCGATGGCTTGTGAACAGATTTGTAACAACTTGTTTGCAGACCGGTAACAACTTGCTAACGTCGGCTACACACGTAAAAACGCACAAGTTGTTACAGGTCTCCAAACAAGTTGTTACAAATCTGTTCACAAGCTGTCGACAAGTTGTGTTCGCACTGCTTGTTCCCAGTTGTTGTAACAAGTTTGGAAGAAGCTGTTAACAACTTGTAACAAACTTGATAGCATTATCAGACTTGTTACAAGGTTGGTTGTTCTAAGAAGTCTGATGCAATCATGATATAACAAGAATGTTACAAGGTTGACGACACAAGGTTGAAACAATATTGTTATATCATGACTGTATCGGACTTGTTGGAACAACCTTGCAACAAATCTAATAATATCAACAAAGTTGTTACGAGTTGTTAACAGCTTGTTCCAAACTTGTTGACAACTTGGGACAAGCAGTGCGAACACAACTTGTTGACGGCTTGTTGGCAGACTTGCTACAATATGTGAGATTTTTACGGGTGTAGAAATGGATTTTGGATAAGATTTACTCACACGACAGCCATGTCCTGTCCAAGTCTGATTCTCTTCGTCCCAGTACAGACAACTTGATTCAAACATTGACATGTTGTAGTTCGGTGTTTGATTGGGAAAGAAATATTTGCCATCAAAACCAAGATTATCTGCGACCATCACTTTGAACGGCGACTCTGTCGGGGGCGGTGGGGGAGGTGGGGGGATGATGACACATGAACGACGCATGCGTCGTTTACCAATGTCACATGCGAACGATCGTTTCCGACGTGAATTGCTTGAGCTGGAGTCCGGCTCGATGTCGTCCATTGAATTGTTTTTAACTTGGATAGCTAGAAATAACCGGAAGAACGGAAAGTAAGCGATGTAGACATACTAGACCAATGATATAAGATGTCGTCTCTTGATTTGGTAAACGTAATTGCTGGTGCTGCAAGCAAACGTTTTCTAGTCGTCCGTCCCTAACTCCAAATAGAGACCTTACGATTTAGGACGGCAACGCTACGGCAACGGCTACCAATACAATAAATCATTGAAAAGAATTGAATAATTACAATATATGAATAATTTAGACATTGTCCTCGCTCTGTTTACAACGCCAAATCACAGATGTTCACGTCTTGATACAACGGCTGCATTTCAAGCCGCAACAAATGCAACTTCAAACTGGGTTCAGCAGAACTCTTTCCAACCATAAAACCCATGTCTTCAACTTCTAAGACTGTATTAAATTCATATCATTGATAATATACGACGAATTATCTTTACTACCATTTATTTCAAGGAGTTTGTTTTGGCCGTCGTCGCGTTGCCGTCCTAAAATCGTAAGGTCTCTAATCTATAAAAGAAGGGCGCGGTTTTCTCCGCTATTTTTAATTTGGGTGACCTAAACTGACGGGTCAACTCAAAATATTATTGGGGTTAGCCACGTTATTGTGAAAATTGGTAGAATATAGCGAAATTTAAGAGCTTATGATATATACTACACAATCTCTAGAATCAAATTTCTGTCTAAGTCAATCTAAACTCTGTATACAAACGACTCATTACCGTTGCGTGTTTATTTCAAAATTCGTGCCATCCAAGCATTCGGCCAGATACCGAATATTGTTTTGTATAAGGTTCGGGCCTTGTTTTCAGGTTAAAAATTATTTGATCGACCGGATATTTTCAAATATCCGGTATCCAGCCGGATACCAAAAAGCTATTAACAATATCCGGTACACCTACAGTATTTTACTTACCAAAACAATGTAAACCAGTTTCGTTAAAATCGACATTCGAGACAAACACTGAATACGGATGAAGAGCACAGTGTCTGAATGGATCAACTACAATCGTGTCATTCGCTCGTGTCGTATTATTCTCATCAACCTCCACCTCACAGCTGCTGAAATCGGGCAAGTCATATTGCAGGTCAAAGTCACCCGTTCTTACATCCGGCTTTCCGCCCGTTTTTAAGTACACCTTCAAATTCAGGCTGACGTCCTCTGGGTAAACCTCAAAATTCATAGCAGTCCAGCGGGTCGTCCTGTTGAAACAGTGATACTTCAAGTATGATTTACCATCGGAGTTCGGATCCGGTTTATCAGGTTTCATATAGAACGACGCGATTTCCGGGAATTGGCTTGGGTCACGTGATATGGTGATACCAATCTCTTCGGTTAGGTTGGATAGTTGCATATCTTTGCTTGAACCGAGGTTAAGGCTTGCTATCTTAGAGGTCACTGTCTTGCTTGTGTTGTCCCATGTGTAAGGATTGTTGTTGAACACTCCCATCTGAGAAAGCGAAATGTTTATGCTTAATTTAAAGGACATAGTAGGACATTGGGTTTGTTTATAGCCAATTTACCATTTTAGATAAGGGAGCGGTTATTATTTATGGCGGAGGGGCATGGCACCGAAGAGAAAAGGGTTGGGTAAACAAAATTTTGAGTGAGTAAAAGGTTGGGTAAATGAAAAATAAAACAACTCTAGGGTTGGGTAATAAAAATTTACTTTAATTTCCAAAGCATATGATTCACTTAAATATTAATTGAGGACTAAAAAGCAATGTCAACAGTCATTTGTCAATACAATATGTAAATAAATCAATCAATCAATCAGAGTCACTATCTTGATCATTTTCTGATTTTTCAGGAGGCAAATGGTGTCTCCAAAGAAAGTGCATGTGCAGACAACGTGAAACTTTAGACTGCCAAAAATGGCACAAGCAGTTATCAAACTTATGTCACAGAAGTGGTGAAGGACATGTGTGACAACTGAATGGTATCCTAGTTTTGTAAACTTTTTGGCCAGGGGTGGGTATTTATTTTTTAATTGATCTTTGAGGTTGGGTAAATTTTTTCATGGACTTTTTAATGGTTGGGTCAGTGTAATTTTTACCAAGGAAAACAATTCTCTTCGGTCCCACCCCCACCACAAGTATAATGACCGCTCCCTAACTCACATGCGTAGTTACTACTGTTCGAACCTTTGTTCTATTCTATGCCTCGGTAAACTACTAAGCATTAGAATTATCTACATGAGTGAATAACTCTGATGCATAATTCGAATGCTTGGTTACCTTTGTTCTATTCTGTGCTTCTGTACACTTGAACAATAGTAACTAGGCATGTGAGTTAGTCTAAAGTCGTGAATTGGTAGCAACGAAGTGAACATCGTTAGCCAGATTTGTCTATTGGCAGTAAAAAAATAATTTGTCTCCTGTGAAAAAGCTTTAGGGACCGGTCATTATTTATGGTCGGGGGTGGCACCGAAGAGAAATGTTTTTCGTGGCAAAAATTTTGCTTACCCAACCATTAAAAAATCAAAAATTTGATTACCCAACCTCAAGTATCATTTAAAAAATAAATACCCACCCCTGGCCAAAAACGTTACAAAAGGATCTCATTCAGTTGTCACACATGACAGTCTCCCTCGCAGACGTTCTTACTAGTCCTTTACCACTTCTGTGATACGTTTGATAACGTTCGGCTTGTGAATGTTTGATAGTTTGATAACGTTCGGCTTGTGAAATTTACTGACTTTTCTGCAGTCTAAAGTTTCATGTTGTCTGCACATTTACTTTCTTTGGAGACACCATTTGTCTCCCAACAAATCGGAAAATGATGAAGATATAGATTGATTCACATATTGTATTGACATATGACTGTTGACTTTGAAGTTTTCAGTCTTCAATATTTGAGTGAGTCGTGCTTTGGAATTGACAATAAATTTTTATTACCCAACCTTTGAGTTGTTTTGTTTTTCATTTACTCAACCTTTTCTTCACTTAAAATTTTGTTTACCCAACCCTTTTCTCTTCGGTGCCACCCCCCCGCCATAAATAATGACCGCTCCCTTAAAAATACTTAATAAAGATTTTTTCGTATCTCACTTTTTTCTTGAAATATTTTGCCTACAGTGAGCTGCCCGCCATCTTGGATTATTCAGGACATGTTACGTCACAAGTTGGGTCACGCAAACTTTTTATCCAATGATCAACATTTTAGTTGCTAGATCAACATTTTCGAATTGAATAGAGACATTTTAAACCACTTTTGGTCACATATTTGTCAGTTTCTTTTTAAATATTTCTCTCATATACTTAGTGCTGATAAACTGAATTGAATTTATTTGGGGCCGGTTGTTCAAAAGCCGATTAGCGTAACCCTAGGTTACCCTAAAATTGAAAGCAAACTTTCAACAGCTTGTTTAAAAACTTGGAAATATTTCTTCAGAAATCTTGTGTGAATCAACGACAGTTTTCTTTACTGGAGTTTTGAAATAAACAGACGTGCAGAAATACAGAAACTAAAACAGCGGGTTAAATTTTAACCCATGGTTAGCGCTAATCCACCTTTGAACAACCGGACCTGGATGTATATACCTTTATTGTTATTGTTTCCAATTGGGAAATTGTAGCATTTATATCTTTAACAACTAAATGGAAGAAAATTCATTGTTAATTCCCGTTCAAACAAAGTTTTCTTTGACGAGTTTAACTTTTAGTACTGAACAATTTTTTCGACCAATATTTCCTTGGCAAGTCTTACCGCCGTTTTAGTTGCAAGCTCAGCTGGCTATAGTGCTACACTATCATTGCATGCATGCAAAGCTGAAATATGTTTCTCCTTTTTAACGGCCAATGGCTTAACCAAAATTATCAGTTTTGAAAGGTTAAACATATTAGTTTTGAAAATGTTTTGGACTTCTTTATAGTGTCGCAGTTTTAAGCGTGCCTACGTGATTTTCAAAGCAGAGTAACGTTCGGCCTGACCGTTGTATATTTGTGTAATCGTTCTTTTACAAAAAGATAATCATTGGCAAGAATCTTCACAGTAATATTTCAGTTAGACATGTGTTTCACAAAAATATATTTGCCTATCATCAGACAATATACACATGGTTAGTTTAAACAAAGTTATTGTTGGAAATGGCTGTATAGAAATGCACTTTCGATGGGTTTGTAATGTTCAAAATTTTTTGGGAAGCACGCCCCCAGACTCCCCTCCCCTTCTTTTGAAATTTTCTTAGTATCCAGTCGGGAAGGTTCGCAGCCAAAGCCCCATCACTATACCACTGTAAATCACTAGGTACAACATGGTACTTTCTACAAAACAAAACGATTTTATTTATTGCCATGTACAAGAGCTTATATGAAATTAGATTTCTTACTGTCTCCGAAACCAAATACTGCCGGACTCGGTGTCTTGAAACTACAGTCATTTGCAACATTTCCGTTTTTGCCCATGTTTCTAATTGATACTTTCTCGCTCTGTAAAGTCATGTGTTTGGTGGAGCTGGTGGTTGGACCTTCGTTTGGAACGATGTAGCGAAGTGTTGCCCCGTGGAGGTCGTCTAACATCGAGATGGATCTGTTAGCGCGATCAATGCTCTAGGGAAATAAAAAATGTAAATAAATATACGCAGTATACTGGTCAAATGTTTTAGAACACCCTTTTTTTGCCGCGTTACAAGAATAGTAAATTTGAATGAAAATTTGAGATGTAATAGAGTGAGACATTACTCACTCATTGGTAGTTTTTGAAATTAGCATTGTAAACCGTAAATGCAATTATCGCCAAATATATGGGATTTACTACTTTTTTCCAAATTTAATTGTGATCTTATTAATTCGATTTCATTTGTTGATTTTTATGATGATTCTATTGAAAAATGTTTGTAGTCTTTCACGAATGTTGTATAATGTCGGTGATATGCATAGTTTTTAAACTGGATCAAAATATATTTAACTGAAAATTTTTTCGCAATTTTCAAGTTCTCGTACAATCTTATTTTTAATCATTCTTCTACATCGCTTTAATCATGTATTGGGCATGTAAGTTATTTTAATTTCAGCCAAATATCAATAATTTGTAACAAAAATAAACCAAGTTGTGAGGTTTTGAATCACAATTAAATTTTGAAAAAAAGGAGTAAATCCCATCAGACAATCCAGAAGACACTCTTCTGGATTGTCTATGATCCCATACATTTGGTGATATATGTATACTTCCTGTTTACAATGCCAATTTCAAAATCTACCAATGAGTGGGTAATGTCTCGCTCTATAACGTGTTAAATTTCCATTTAAATTGGTTACATTTTGAGTTAGATATAACTATTTTTGTAACAGCCACAAATATAGTTTTGAAGCGATACATCTATGATATATTGTAGTTTATTGTTTTTTTCAAAAGAACTTATACAATCATGTTTCCGCACTAGTTTTCACCTCAAATTTACTCAATTACTTTGATTAAATTTTCAAATTTACTCACCACAAAATATTTGAGACAAACCCCCTCCCCCGATTTCAATGTTATTAGGCACTACAATATTATTAATAATAGTTTAATGCCAACATCATATGTTAAATTTCAACTGCCAGTGACGGCACAGTTGCGGTTCTAGTGTCACCTTATGTTCGTTTTGGATAAGTACAGTAGGCTTTCACCATTGAAATGGGGAATGATTTAAAAAGGCTCAATATATTTTGTGGACGATTGCTGGTTAGATCTAAATAAATGTATGACAATTTTACATTCGATTTCCATCCGGGTACAATACCATTACACAATTAACATTCCGTATAGTTACCGCGTCATTTATGGCGAGGTCTTCCTCATCACTTGGCTTCGTAGACGCCTCGATCAACTGCCCAATTGTGCTCGCTAAATTCGTAACTGCTGACTTCACGTTTTTAAATGAACTTTGTCCTTTAGATAGTGTTGTCAAACCTGTCACCGATGCAGAGCATAACCCTACACCATATTCCTAGAAAATATCACAAAAGTAAGTTGCTTCATATACAGCCTTGTGTAATATCTGGGGGTGCACCGGCTATCATATCCGAGCCGGATAGTGAGATAATCTCATTATCCTGTGACCGGACAGATATATAAAATATCCGGGCGTATACCGAATATTGTTTGTACAAGGTTGAGGCGTTCTTTCAGGTTAGAAATGATGTAATGTGGTTAAAAAGTGCGAGTATTTACCATATTTCTACTTGAGATGATCGTAGAGAAACTGGCAATATTTTCAAGATTTTTCATGCTCGCAAGATTTTTCATGCATGGGTTTGAAATTGGAAATTTTTGCTCAAGGCTTTTCCAACCAGGCATGTTTATCGATGTTGGACTGTGAAGTTCTTTTCTATCATTTCAAGTCAATATGTAATGAACACCATCAATTTGAACCTAGTTCGAAGTCAAACAAATTTAATCTACATTTTTGCAGAAATTTTCACTGATATTTTTTATGTGTGATAGTTAATTCTGAAAATTAGACTGATTGACTATCTAAATTACTAATTGCTAACTATTTAAATGATTAAATGCCTAATTAATCTACTAACTCGATACCTAAATTACAACTGAAAAGTTTCATAAAAAATATTCATACAGCCTGCAGTAGATTATTATATGGCACAAGACGCTCAGCGTTGAAGACATCGTTGAACACGTCAATTGAACAGTTCATTAATTGATTGATTGATTTTATTATTTAGTCCTTTTCCGTTTATACTGTTCAGTAAACGTAACTAATTTAACGAATATTGTGAAGAAGGATCCGCAGTAATTGGCTGTAGCTGTTGCGGAAATCCTGCCTTGTTTATATATATAGTAATTTGATGTTTCTTCTTAATATTGTTACCAAGGCAAAGTTAGATAAATTAAAAATTAAAAAATATTGCTTCATGTATGCAATAATAAGACAGTCACAAACGACAATTTTGTTATTTTTCCATATTTATTATATAATCCGTTTTCCAGAAAATTTTTAGCCTTAAACTCAAGTTCCCTGACAAAAACAATTCCACCTCTGACCCGCTACCCCTAGTTTTATCTTAAGGTTTATGCTTAGAAAAGGTTAATTTTTACCTTACCTGTGTTGTGGGTGATAACACTTCTGAATTTTCTGTCAGAACTTGTGTTGTGCCACTCAGTTGCAATAACGTGTTCATGTCCGTCACGTTGATACCAGAAAGTGATTTCATGATGTTTTGTTTCAACTAAAACAAAGAAAATATTTAACGTCATAAATTAAATGGGTTGTGATCCAGAATTGCGGAAACGGAAGTGCGGACGCAGGATCGTGGAAGCGGAATTGGGGATAAAACGCGGCATGAATTACTATTTCTTTTGCTAAGATTTATTTCCTATAATTCGCACCTCGTCAACTTTTTGACTCTCGTCTCGTCTTCTTGCCATTTCGTCAGCTGTCATGTTTCGTGATGTATTGCTGTTGGAATCAACATGATTCAACACTGAGCCAATCACTCCTGCCATTGACAAGGCTTTTCGTGGATCACCGCCTGCGATTAATTCGTCTAACGGGTTGTTTAAACCTGATAACATGTTGCCGAGGTTAGTCAGGTTGAAACTGTCTTTACCAGGTGGCTCCACCTTTTAAAGAAAACTGGCTGTCACACTCAATCAATTTTTTGTGCATTATTTTAGCTGGACGAAAAGGTAACAACTGTCGTATTCTTCGGTAAAATGTTTTTGACATTACAGAATTTTTGATTTTTTGTATAATGAAAGTTTTAAGCGGTGCTATACAGCATGCAAAATTTGAACATAGTTCACGAGACAAAATAGAGAGATGTAGCGCATAGGTTTCCTATTTTTTGTTGCAAAAACCATGAATAATATAATAAATGGATAGGAAACTAACTGACGTGACCTAATGTTTTCAATGGGATGATGGCGTGGTCGGATGTTGAAACCTAGTTGCAAACCAAATTCTCAAAAACGGCATGTTTAGCAATATTACAGCTAAACATTTTAGTCAAAGAGCAAATAAATATAACTACGCCATTCTGCGATGAAATCTCTAAGTATTTCCAGTCAATTTTAGCAAATATTTCAAGCACTAAACAGTGAAAAATGCATCCCAAATTTCGTTAAAATTGGTGACGCTTATTTCGTAGCTACGAATGTAAAAAAAATACAAAACAAAGACGAAAAACATTTACCTTGAATACTTTGTCGTGGCTTTGGCATGTTTTTAAAACAATTAGACCAGTTGCAAAAACTTAGGAAGGGTAGATCGGGTTTTCTTGTTTTGTGTTCATTTTTTTAGAAATGCTCTAGACTTTCGCAAAGTCCTTTCTCCATGTTTATATAATTCGCGACAAAAACAAAGGGTATCTCGAGAAAGAAATTTGCGAAATAGTGCGGAATATCAAGGGGGAATTCCTTTGTCAACCGAATATTTCGTGAAGTGGTTGTTACTTTACACATTATCGACTTTAACTACCTTAACAGTGAAATGCAATTCAGTCGCTCCATCAAACTTATCCCTAACATTGACGTAAATATCCAAGTCATTGTCTTGATTCGCATTCCCAATCGGCAAATCGCTACTGGAGATGACAGTTTTCCCGGGACTTCCAGTAAGGGTTAAAAATACTGTTCTAACGCCATTCAATTCGTAAGCATAGTCGTATTTGATTGGTGGATCGGGATCTGTCCAGTTGATGCATGTGATGTTAAACGTGGTTGTCATGGCAACACCGCTTGGTGGGAAGACACTGCATCTACCTGTGTGAAAGAAACATAAGGTTTTAGGGCCTGTTCATATGACTGACCGGGAAACGTTACATAGCCGAGGTTCGCACGGAAAAACATTTTATGTTCATGCAGTCGGACTACCGGGTGGCCCAAAAAAAAGTACTCCTGTTTGATTCGTAATAACTTCTAAACAAGTAAAGTTTTTAAAGAGAAATAACTTGCATTAAATAGAGGAAGGACTAACTTAGATTTTGATATATTACAGTTGTAT